GCTGGTGCCAAAGCAGCCATGACAGAGACTCTCAGCCTAGAATGCACACGGCATCTCACAAAGAGTCTAGAGTCTATTTGAGCAGCATGAGGACAGAATGAAGTATTTTTATTATAGTCTATGGGCTTTCTTTGAGTAAAGCCACTTGGATACCATTAAAACATTCTTAATAAACTATCAAGTGCACTAAAGACTACCAAGTGGGTCACTGTAGCTATGAAAAAGAGTTTGTAAAATATTTGTTTGAATTATTTAAAGCTTTTGACATTGTAAATGCATATTATAATTATAAGCTAATATATAACGTTTCAAAATTCTCAGGCATCTGGTAGAACTAAACTCTTAGGAGTAATAAATATCAGCTAAACCTTGCTTAATATCAATGTTCTACTCATCATTGAAATTTTCTATGGAAAACAGATCAAATAATATTTAAGTACTAATAATTTTTTTTACTACTTGTTTGATTCTGTTTACTACTTTTATTATATTTAAATGAAGCACAAAGAAAGAGCTCTTAATAATTTTTGAGGGAGGGGCTAACAAAATGTTATTTTTATATCTTATAACTATATATTATGTGTTATGTTCCTGGTTATATTATTTTATTTTAAAACTTATTAAGTTGGTAATGTTAATCTCATTTTTTGAATGAGAAAACCAAACTCCAAATAAAGGTAAAGACTTGTTCACTTTAAACCATTAGTAAGGGATTTTAGACTGAAGTAATAGGATTTTTAATGTTCATCACTTGATTGTATCGGATACACCTACCTCAGATGATGCCCATAAAAATGTTTCTCATTCTTTTCAGGAGTTAGCCCGAGACAAAAAAAAAATTAAATGGTAATAGCTCCAGAGGTGTTCTATTCTAAGTTAATCGATCCATATATAAAGTTTTGAAATTAGTTATATTGACTTTCAATATGGGTGGATAATTTGCATGCTTCTGCTGAGTATTTCAAAAGGCCGATAAAATGCCAGGCTTCCCATTGGAACCTAGGCAGGGCCAGAGTGATACATGTATTTTTAGCTACTCATGACAGATAGGTTGGTGGACAGAAAGAGAGGAAGGAAGGAGGGTAGGAAGGAAGGGAGAGAAAGAGAAAAGGAAGGGAAACAAAAGGATGGCATGAAATGAAATAGGGCTTCCTAAAACCTATTGTAGATTAGAATCACATGTTGGTCTTTGTAAAAACCCAAGTAAAGTTTTCACTTAATGTTGTAGATAGATTCTTTGAAACAATTTTAAGTGAAACTACTATACCAAATTTTACCATAAGCTAATTGATATAAATGAGAGTTAAATTCCAACACATTTCATCAGTGTTATAACGAAACAACTTTATTGGAGAACCTGCCATAACTATTGTTACTAAATAAATAGTTCAGGTGAAAGAGGACCTTGGAATCTCCTCTTTCAACCATAACATAGGTAATTATAACATGTATTGAGATTTCAGTGCTACCCACAATATTTCCAATGTCCAATCTTCTGTTAACTCAATTGGTTTCAATCTCCACTCATCTGTTAAACTTGCCATTCAGTGATATTCCAAATGCCAATCTTAAGTGATGTTTTCTTTATGTAACTGGGCTATTTGACTTATTTGACATCATTAACCTTCTTGAAATGGATAAGCCATTGTTGACTATGACACTGAATTTTCTTTATCCTATTTGAATTTTTGCAATAGTTTCTTTACTCTCACCCTTTGCACATTTTCTTTATTTAGCTTTTTTGTACCTCCCAGAGAACCATCTTCTTACCATATCTATTCTCCCTAGTTAATTTCATCTACTAGTACTTACGTGGTTTTGATTATACCAATATACTGACAACTTCTAAATTTAACTTTCATTGTGGATTTCCTTTCCTGGACTTCAAACATATATTTGTCAATTACTAGAACTCCTTATCCAGGTTTCTCTCACACACTTCAAACTCAAATGCCCAAAAGTGAACTGATTGTCTTTCTCCTTAAACCAGTCTGATTTGGTGTATTTTCATCCTGAACTTCTGCCATCCTCTACCCAGTCCCTCAAAGAAGGTAGGATAATATCCCTGGACTATTTGTCTCTTAGTTTGTTTTACCTCCAGTATATTTCTTGAACAAATATCCTTCTCATTGTTATAATCATGATTCTATTTCAAAGTTTTTTAGCTCTCATTTCTGTATGCAGTATTTTCCTATTATTTTTTCCTGCAGGCTTGCTCTCACTTGAATCCAACATCACCAGAATCAACTACAGCCCTTTGCTGACGAATGTGCAGTAGTGCCACCCTGCATATAAGATAGACACAAGCTCCTTAATGTAACATATACACCGTGTTAATCTGTGTTTAGTGATTTTATTTCTCTCCAATCAATCCAACCCTTTTTCTGACCACTCCCCTCCTCAGAGCTTTTACTCCAATAGTCCAAAATTGTTTGCGGTGGTCCATTCTTACCATCCAACTCCTTTTCTGAATGGCCATCCTCATTTGTCTCCTTTTACTGGAATATCTTTAGCACCCCATAAACTCTTCATCTGGCCAGCTCCAACAAATCTTTTAAAACTCCAAACTTATAACACCAACACAACCCTTGGTCTCCATAGTCAGACATGCAACTGCCTTTTCAATTGTATGCTAGATAGTATGACAAATTTAACCTCTAATTTAAACTGATTTTACTCCACCCACATTCCAAAGAACTGCTCTTTCTGTAGTCTTTCTATTTCAATAAAGAGAAATATTTTCTTGCAGTTTCTCAGTTACTCAGCTCCAAAGTCTTACTCCTGAACTCTTTTTTTCCCCTCTCATTTCATATAAATTCATCAGTAATTCCTGTCTATTACCACATTTTTATCAGAACCAATCATTTCTCATCACTTCACCATTACTGCTACCATTCTAGGCCAAATTATTTACAGCTTTCATAGCTATTTTGAAAATAGCCTCTTAGACTAGTGGACATTATTATTCCTGCTTCCCCTCCCCCATGCCCTGCTTTGTCCTCGGCCTGGCTCTTCTCTATCCAGTAGTCAGAGAGAGCTTTTCAAATACAAATTCACATGTTCTCATCCTTGTCATGTTCTAGCTCTCTTAACATGATTTAGTTTTCTTCACAACACTTATCATCACTTGATATATACTTCCTTGTATTTTTTATTTCTTCCCACTATAATGAAAGCTCCATGAGAACAAAGACCTTTTATTTTTTCACTTAGAATATTGCTGGTCTATCATGACCCTCAGCAATATTGTTAACAAATGAATAAATGAATGTAGCTCAGATGTCTCTTAATTCAGGAAGTTTTCAATGATAGACATGATTACTTAAGCATCCCATTCCCATGCTTTCTTTAGAATAGAATATATATTTTTATTACTAGAGGCCCGGTGCACAAAAATTTGTGCAATAGGTGGGGGGGGGGTCCCTCAGCCCAGCCTGTGCCCTCTCACAGTCTGGGAACCCTCAGGGGATGACCACCTGCTGGCTTAGGCCTGCTTCCCGGGGGATTGGGCCTAAGCTGCCAATCAGACATCCCTCTGGCAGCCCGGCAGCCCTCAGGGGATGTCCACTTGCCAGCGGGGAGCAGCCCTAAGCTGCAGTTGGACATCCTTAGCGCTGCTGAGGAGGCAGGAGAGGCTCCCACCACCACCGCTGTACTGGCAGCCATCAGCCTGGCTTGTGGCTGAGCAGAGCTCCCCCATGTGGGAGCACACTGACCACCAGAGGGCAGCCCCTGCATTGAGCGTCTGCCCCCTGGTGGTCAGTGTGTGTCATAGTGACCAGTCATTCCCAGTCTATCTGCTGTTAGGGTCAGTTTGCATATTACCCTTTTACTATATAGGATAGAGGCCTGGTGCACGGGTGGGGGCCAGCTGGTTTGCCCTGAAGGGTGACCCGGATCAGGGTGAGGGTCCCTCTGGGGTGCCTGGCCAGCCTGGGTGAGGGGCTGATGGCTGTTTTCAGGCTGGCCACACCCCCTTTAGGGTGGGGGTCCCCACTGGTGTGCCTGGCCAGCCTGGATGAGGGGCTGATGGCTGTTTTCAGGCTGGCCACACCCCCTTTAGGGTGTGGGTCCCCACTGGGGTTCCTGGCCAGTCTGATTGAGGGGCTGAGGGCTGTTTTAAGGCTGTCTGGCAACTGAAGCTCCCAGCCTCTCCTTTTTTTTTTTTTTTTTAATTCCGGGATTTATTTACCTTCTATAATTGAAACTTTGTTACCATCACTGGAGCTGAGAGCCGGCTCCTACTCACTCCAGCTCTGAGGCCACGGCCTGCTGAAAGCAGGTATCTGGGGTTTGTTTAGCTTCTATAATTGAAACTTTGTTGCCGTCACTGGAGCTAAGAGCCAACTCCTGCTCGCTCCAGCTCTGTGGCCACGGCCTGCTGAAAGCAGCTATCTGGGGTTTGTTTAGCTTCTATAATTGAAACTTTGTTGCTTTCGGAGCTCAGAGCCGGGCCGCGGCAGGTGGGGAACCTTGGCTTCCTCCATCACTGGAGCAAGGAAGCCTCCTGCTCGCTTCAGCTGTGTGGCTGCCAGCCGCCATCTTGGTTGGGTTAATTTGCATATTGCACTGATTAGCCAATGGGAGGCGTAGCGAAGGTATGGTCAATTACCATGTTTCTCTATTATTAGATAGGATTCCACACTGTTTTATAGGTCCGGGTAACTATCTTCCATTAGACTGATCTTTAAGAATGGAAAACTCTCCTCACCTTTTTTAAGTTTAGTGTTATCATAGTGTCAATCATCTAACACATATTTGAAAAACTTTGGGATAGAATGAATAAATGAATATGTAAATGCTGAGCATTCTTAAGAAATAGTCCAGATCTTCCCATAACCATTAAAAAAAAACAGTCCTTTAAACACATCTGGATCTAATGGATCAAATATGTATGGCCTTGAAATATACCTAACATTTTAGTAAAGGCTTTGTTAGTTGAGCTTTAACCATTAGTAAAGTAACATCTATTTCAACAATTAAATTTTGTGTATTTTCAGAGATCATCTATAGCTGGGTATTTAACGAGTTCCCTTCCTTTGTGGCGGAAGACAGTCGGCGGTTCATTTCCCAGGAGACAGGCAACCTCTATATTTCTAAAGTCCAAGCATCGGATGTTGGCAGCTATATTTGTCTGGTGAAAAACACAGTGACGAATGCCCGAGTACTTAGTCCTCCAACACCACTCACTCTACGTAATGATGGTAAGTTGCATGGCCCCGAATGAAACATCAGACACCTCAAAGGTGAAAAATAAAGATGTAGTAGTGTTTTGCTAAACCCTTGAACCTAGCACAAAAAAAAGTACAAAGGCATTTGCCATACTTAGAAACTATATTTTTGGTCTGAGATTATGCATACCTTAGAATAAAAATTTTGACATAAGAAGTTGATGATCTGTGGATGAGAAATAATAAACATAATGCCTCCCAATGCCAAAAAAAGGGGAGAGATAATGTGAAAAAAATGAACAGTAGCAAAGACTCCACAGCTCTTTGCTCTTTACTGCCTCTATATAGCACATGTGCATTAATTGTGAGCATTTTATAGGTTCACTTTTCATTACATTTTTATATTAGCTACCTTCAAATTGAATGTTCAGCTTTTAATATTTCATGGTATAGTTATAATTGTTATTATTACTTTTTCAATAATAGGAATAGTTGGATCTTTAACTTTTAAGTGCAATTCAGGCAGATACGATAATTCTATAATTATAGGTATTGCCATCTAAAGGATCTTCAAATTTAAACACCTCATTTCTAGTTATAGACATTTACAGTTAAGCATTGCATTAAAGAAGTCATGTGCTATATTACAGTTGATATATGATATGTGGCTTGCTCTGTCATGCAATAAAAATCTATAAATGCATATTATGAAGTAAATTTGAAAGTGCTTATTGTGAAGCTTAAAAAATAATATATTTTAACACTACTCTTTCAGATACTTGGTTTTAGAATATATGCTGCTGGAATGTATGTCCAGAGTTATGTCACAAGATTTTTGCTTACAACTTAGCTTTTCATCTTATATATTTAGACTTAATAGTAAATATAATACAAGTACATATAATAGCAATAATCTTAACAGAAAGTATAAAAGCAGTAGCTCTTTTTGAGATGAGGAAGCTCATATTAGAGAGATGAAGGGACACAGCTAAGTAATGACACAGGAATAGATGAGAAACAAATACAGAATTTTGGAGACCAATTTAGAGTCTGTTGAAACCAGTCAGCCAAGAGGTGATGAGAAATAGAATGGAAGCAGTGGTAATAGCATTCGCAAGCAGGAGACACGCCTGGGATTTCAAGGAGGTAGACTTGCCAGGATATGATGGTTAATTAAACATGGGACTCTGGAGTAGGAGGAAGCTTTGGCATAGTTCACTGAATGGGTGATGATTCATGGATCATGATCACCAACTGCAAATGGGAGTTCAACATTGTTACTCCATCCTACTAACTTTCCGTAAACTGGACTATGAGCCAACATCCCTTCACAAAAAACTATAAAAGTATCAAATTTATCTTCCTGCTAATAAAATTCAGACCTAACTACATCTTCATTCATATTGTTCTTCCCTCCCCCTATCTTAATAGAGATAGAGATCATGTTTCTCCTCCTATAAGGACATCCCTTTATCTTTTCATTCCCTCTGGCCTTTTCAGAACATTACACTATTAGTCATTATTTCTTACATCACTAATACCATGTCACTAAACTAATAAACTATTTTTAGTCATCATAGTAATTGGATTTACTGAGGCAGTTCAAATTATTTACCTTTTTGTGTGAACATCTTTATTTTCAAAGAATCATGAGTTGAGCAATAATATGTAAAGGCTCATTAAAGAAATACAAATGAGTAAAATGAAACTGTTATTTTAAAGTTAACATTTAAATTAAAAAGAAAGCAGTGGAAAACGCCTGCTAAATTTCAATTACATTTTTTGAATGATAGTCTTAATTAAGATTCTGAGAGAGGTTAGAAAATTTACATTTCCTCTTTCTGTAAATTATCTAAGGTTGTTGTTTCCATGGTCGTTCTTTGCCTACTAATGTGTATTTTTTTTATCATAGTAATACTCTATATCCATATTGAATAAATGGTATAATTGTGGATGAGAAAACAAAAACAAAAAATCAACAACATTTCTTCCTCTCATCAAATCCCACTCCTTAAAGCCACTCTTTTTAACTTTTCCTTTTTTCCTTGATGAGGTTCATATATAATGCTAGAAAATATCGATATTTCTTCTTTAATCAAGTTAAAGAAATCATCAATGTGGTTAAGAAAGCTCGTACAAAGAGTATAAGATAAAGAGAAATGAGCTTAGGAACAAACCTTAAGTAATATGAATTGCATTAAAGGAAGGGTAATAAATGCAAATCCTACAAAGATAATGATAAGAAGCCAGAGTTAATAGGAAAAAACAGTGTTGTAGAGTCAAGGAAGCCATGGAAATGCGTGTTTAAATGAGGAGAGATGGGAGCGCAGCTCAAGATGGTGCACTGGGTGCCTGTATTGGGTGCCTGTCACCCTCTGAGACCTTCGGAGACAAAGCCATGTCATGGGTGAGGATGCTGAAGGAGAGGAAGCAGTTCACTAACAAATAAGACATTTTGGTAAACAGGTTCTGGAAAAATAAGGATGTGAGTTAAAGGATTAAACAGGTAGAGAAACTAAAACTTAGAATAAAGTTTGAGGGATCTAAGGAGTTTAAAGGGCTAAAGACCATGTGCCCAGTGGAAGCCTGAAGAAGTTCTGAAATCAAAGTCAGCCAAGGGTGGACATAAAAATGAGACTGAACAGAGAGGGATTGAAGGTATGTATGTTGAACATCTACTTCAGTGAAATATTGGAATCCCTTTTTCTACATGCAAAAAGACCAAAGGGTTGTCTCTTAACAACATGGATGCACTTTTTATGGACAGCTGGAGTTCTTAATGAGAACAATGGCCTACAGGCAAAAGCTTTTTCAGCAGATGGGTGTCCACAGCCTGACAGCCAGTTCCTTGCTCCCATATCAAAGCCAAGAGGATTGCCCTGGCCCATGTGCTCAGTTGGTTGGAGCATCCTCCGGTACACCCAAAGGTGGTGGGTTTGATTCCAAATCAAGGTGAGGATTTAAAAAAAAAAGCTGAGGGGACTTTCAACACACTGTACCCAGCCTTCTCCTCACCCCACCTTTAAAGGGAACCAATTCTACATACAGGGGAACCATGACCACTTCCAAACTTCTCATACTTAACATTTATATACAATTCTAAGTTAACACTTTCTATTTAAGAATTACTTAACTGTTGAGTGGTTACAGAATTTATACCAGGATAATGTGTGAAAAAAAGAAACTTTTTAATATGCTAAAAAAAGGCTTCTATTAGACTGGAATCATTTTTTTAAAATAAAAAAAACTTCCATATCACTATTTGATCTCTCTTTTTAAAAAAATTGAAAAGTATGTTCAAAAGGACACACTCCTGAATGTTTTCCCAAGTAGATGGCATATATTAGACATTATGTCTAAGATAAAAATTGAATACGATTGTGGATGAATCCATTTATTGCACCACGGTTGGCTGGAATTCCTGGTGGGTTTTACAAACCTCTCCGTGCAGAGACAGGCATCAGAGTAGATATTTCTGCAGACTTGGCAAACACCTCTGCAGGGGTTTGAATATAAAAATTACACTTAATCTGCTGTGACCATAGAGTTAGCTATAAAAGTCATTTCAAGAACATTGTGTTTTTATACTTCTCTGAAAAAAAACGAAAAAAACAATAGTCATTTCTAAAAATAGTGGAGGCTATATATTTAGGCAAATTATTTCCTCTCAAGTACAAAGAAAATTTTACTTTAAAACTATTATGAAATGTCTTGGATTCTCTTAAAGCAAAGCTGGACACAAAATTTGCTTGTAAGTAGTTTTGTTGTGTTTTTTTTTCCCCAAAATTTATCCCAGAAAGCAGGAATGTGGGCTGGAGTGGGGGTGAGGAGTGAAGCAGTGGAAAGGTGGGCTGCATCATGGAGATGACCACTTCTACAGGCAGCTGGAGCTTGAGCCCACAGGGCCAGAGCCTTACAAAATGCACTCAGAATAGGTCCGTGGAGGACTTATCCATGGGCATTCATCTCCCATTCCAGGAAGGTGGCTCCAAAGGCAGTTGATTTCTGTGCACTTGCATGTGCCCTCAAGTTGCAGTCCTGTGAAACAGGTGGCACCTGCACAGAGCTGGTGGCAGTGGCAGTTGCAGGAGTGGATATGTGGGCCAAGATTTTTTTAACTGGCCCACAATAAAGGTCTAAACATAGATGAGGAAGCTTTAGAAGACTGAAGTGCGTGAGTGACATGATCAGAATTTCCTCTGCTGACGCTGTGGAAAATTATCCTCACACACTCACTCGAGTAAATTGCATACCTACTATGTGTCCAATAATTTTTTTATATAGTGGAGGTACAGCAGAGGGGAAAACAAATATAATAACCATCCTTATGCAATTTACAATATAATACAAGGAGGATATGTCCCTGAATACTGAATATAACACTGCATCCTAGGATCTGCCTGCCTTCATTCAGTGCCCCATGAGGCCATCTCATATATCATTGCAATAAAAAACAAATTTAAAATCTATCTCCAAAAACATTTATACAGATTTTTACTAATAGTGTGGAGAGTAACGAATGAGGTGCTGGCATTACGCATAACACAGCAACATTTATTAAACACATCACTCTAACCACATCTCTCTTTAACCAAGCTTTCATATCTCTGCCTCAACATACCTCTGCCTTTCCCACACAACACTGTGGCCTCTATTTTCCCTTTAGGGTCTCACTCTCTGTATTAAATATGGCAATTTCATACTTTCATTTGAGTCCCTAGCCCAATTCTGAAAAAAAAAATTTAGCTTATTTTATTTTATTTAATCAACAATTATGTTTTATTACTACATGTGAGGCATTGTCTGAAAAACTTTACAAGTATTAGAATGAAAAGATGGAAAATATACACAAGCAGATATTTTAAAAAGAAGTTGAAGTTCTATTCATATCATACAGGATATTAAATGAATTTCTAAAAATAGGAATGGCCACCACATTCTGATAATAGGTTTAATTCTTCAAGAAAATATAACAGAGCATCTTCCCACAACCCACTATGTACTGGACCAGGCCCCCCATTCCTCTTTCCATC